TTAGAGGCACCTGGGTGGCTGAGTTGGTTAAGCCTCCAGCTCTTGATTTTGGCTCAAGTCATGATCTCAGGGTTGTGATATCGAGCCCTGTGTCAGGCTCCGCTCAGTGTGGAGTATGCTTGAGATTCTCTCTCCGTCTCCCTCTACCCATACCACCACTCATGCTCACTCTGTTTCTCAAATAAATTAATCTTTTAAAAAAGATTTGCTTTAATCTTCATTTCATTATGTGTTAATTGTGATAAATAGATTAATTTTTTAATTTCGATTTAAACAATACATTATTGTAGTTACATACGATTAATGTATTAGTCACATTATGTATTTATCTATATATATTATACATTTTGCAAATTGTTTAACTTACTTTTTCTAATATACAGATGCCTAAAATGAAATGAAAGGTATAATCAGTCCCTTACATATTGAAGGCCAAGAACGTTCAGTTTACTCATTGGCTATGGAATTGAGAAGGCAATGAAAAATATCCTGAGATAAAGAACTTTTGCAAAGGTTCCTAAATTTTAATGAAACTAGAGGATTGTCATGTTAAGGTGTTTGGGAGTTATAAAAACTAAAAACACATATTGCACTTATATTTAAGGGATTTTTTCAGTTCTGTTGGGATATAATTTATATAAAGTCATTTATATATGATATAATTTATATTGTATATATATAATTTATATAAAGTCAAGTTGACGCATCAACAATTTGATGAGTTTTGACAAATGTTTAAGTAATGTATAATAATATCTTGAAGTTATGTATAGCAACTTCTGCAGTCACGGTAGGAATATTGCCGTCACTCCCAAAATTCCCTCCTGTCCCTTGCAGTCATTTGGTTCCTCCAGTCGAATCACTAAAAAACTTCTCACGCTATTTTTGCCTTTTCTGAAATACCATATGGAACCATGTACTAGGTGATGTTTTTGTCTGGCTTTTTTTTTTTTTTTTTCTATTAACATCATGATCTTGAGACTCAGCCATGCTGTTTGTATCAGTGGTTCATTCCTTCTTATTGTGAGTCTGGTGCATTGTATGAATGTACCACTATTTGTTTAGCCATTTACCTGTTGACAGCAAATTGGGTTGTTTCTAGTCAGGGGCTCAGCCGCTCTGAGAATCCCAGGAGAATTCTTTGTGGGAAGATATGTTTTGTTTTTCTTGGGTGAATGAATACCCGTCACTGGGATTGTTGTGTTGTATCAAATGTCTGTTAGTGACGTTATAAGAAATTGCTAACCTGCTGTCTGAAGCGGCTGTACTGTTTCACGCTCTTCTGGTAACGTATCAGTGCTCAGTTTCTTCATGTCTTTGTCAACACTTGGTATTATCAGTCTTTAATTTTAACCATTCTGATATGGACCATTAATTACTCTTTGTGGTTTCAGTTTGCTCTTTCCTGATGATTTATGATGTTGGGCACCTTTTCTGTGTTCTTTGCCAGTCATGTATATTCTTTGTTGAAATAATTTCTCAAGTCTTTTGCCCATTTTAAAACATGTTTGTTTGTCTTATTATGGCATCTTAAGAGGTTTTTCGTCGTCATTTATAATTTAATATGTGCTTTAATAATTTATATTTTAATATAGTTTCTATTACTAGTCCTTTAGCAGATAGATCCTGTATAAATATTTTCTCCTAGTCTGTGGTTTGTCTTTTCATCTTCCTAACAATGCCTTTGAGGAGCAAAAAAATTTAATTTTGATGTGGTCAATTTTTTCAGGTTTTCATGTGTGCTAAGAAATCTTTGCCTGACCCAAGATCACAAAAATATTCCCCTCCTCTAGAAGTCTTGTAGTTTTAATATTTAGGCATATTTTTAGTTCATTTTTATAGTTGATAAAAGATCTGAGGGAGACTTACAAATATTCAGGGTTTTTTTTTTCCTGCCAACCTTTTTTTTGTTTGCACGTGGATATCACTTGTTGCAGGATTATTTGTTCAGAAGAATGTTATTTTCCTGGTTGGAATAACACTCGGCATCTTTGTCAGAGATCAATAGGCCATATCTGTGAAGGTCTGTTTGTGGATTTTCTCTTACTCCATTGATCTAAAAGTTTGTCTTTGTGCCAGTATCACACTGGCTTGATGACTGTACCTTTTGTAATAAATCTTAGAATCAAGTAGTGATCGTTTGGGAGAGAATTCACAACTTAACAGGACTAAATTTTCTGATGTATAAACATGAGGTCTCTATTTAAGCATGCTTTAATTTTCCTCCTCAGTGTTTTCTGATTTTTAGAATACAAGTCTTACTCAGATTTTCTTAATGATTTTATATTCATTGATGCTATTGTAAATAGTATTACTTTTGTTTTTAATTTTTTTAATTGTTCACTGCTAACATATAGAACTAGTGCTGCTTTTTTATATATTGACTTTGTATCTTGCAACTTTGCTAAGATGATTTATTCCAGCAGCAGTTTTGTAGATTCCTGAGGATTTTCTATGGAGGCAGTCATCCTGTCTCTGAATAAAGGAAGTTTTATTTCTTCCTTTCCAGATCCGTGTGCATTTTATTTCTTTTTCTGCTTTACTGAATTGGCTAGAAACCCCTATACAGTGTGGAATAAATGTGATGAGCGTGGACATTCTTGCCTTGGTCTTGATCTCAGAGCGAAAGCATTTGGTCTCTATTAAGTATGATGCTAACTGTGGGTGTTTTGTGTGTGTGTGTGTGTGTGTGTATGTGTGTGTTGTTTTTTTTTTTAATAGATACCCTTTATCAGGCTGAGGAATTTCGTTTCTGTTTCCACTGTTCTATGAGTTTTATCATGAATAGATGTTTACTTTTGCCCAACACTTTCCTGCATTTCTTGATAATCATTAATTTGTGGCATTTTTGGTCTGTTAATAAATTGATTTTTCAACATTCCTGGAATGAACTTGGTCTTGACAACTTGATCTCTTTTCTGTGTGCTAGATTCAGTATCTTAATTTTCGTTCAGGATTTTGCAGCTGAGTTTCTGAGGGATTTTGATTTATATTTTTCTGATAATGTCTGTCTAGGTTTACTGTCCAGGGGATGCTGGACTCATACAAATGAGCTGTGTGTTGTTCCTTCCTTTTCTATTTTGTGTAAGAGTTTGTGTAGAATTGGTATTACTTCTTCCTTAAATGTTTGGTGGCATTCACCACTTACGTCTTCTGGGCCTGTAGATTTCCTTATAGGAAGGTTTTTAACTGAATTCAATGTCTTTAATAGAATAAGGGTATTCAGGTTATCTTCTTGAGCAAATTTTGGTAGTTTGCGGTTGCCATGAAATGTTTCCATTTAATCTAACTTGTTGAATCTGTTACAGTGATGTTCATAATATCTCTTTGTTATCCTTCCAATGTCTGTAGGATCTGTAATGATGACTTCTTTTCATTCCTTATGCTTGCAGTTTTTAACTTTCATTCTTGGTCAATCTGGGTAGACTTTACTGATATCATTGATCTAGTCAGAGAATCAGCTTTTGGTTTCATCAATTTTCTTTTTATTTTTTTAAATATTTTATTTATTTGTCAGGGACAGAGAGAGGGAGAGGGAGAGAGAGGGGCAGGCAGAGGGAGAAGAAGCAGGCTCCCCGCTGAGCAGGGAGCCCGACATGGGACTCGATCCCAGGACCCTGGAATGGTGACCTGAGCGGAAGGCAGACGCTAAACTGACTGAACCACCCAGGCGTCCCTGATTTTATTTTTCTGTTTTCTATTTCATTGACATCTGTTCTTTGTTTTCTTTATCCTATTTGCTTTGGGTTAGTCTGCCTTTGCTAGTTTATTAAGGTAGAAACTTAAATCATTGATTTGCGACCTCTTTTCTAATATAGGCATTTAATGTTACAAATTTTGCTCTAAACACTGTTTTAGCTTTGTCTCACAAATTTTTATATGTTATGTTTGAATTTTTGAGTTTGAGATATTTTCTGATGTTTAACTAATTACACAATGATTCCTAAAGATTTCTTCTTTGATTCATGGATTTTTAAGTTTTTGTGTGTTTTTTTTTATTTTGTTTTGTTTTGTTTTTTTAAATGTTTGTGGTTTTTCCAGGTAACTTCTTATTTTGGTTTCTGATTTTGATACTGTTGTGGTCCGACTGCATATGTAGTATGATTTTAATCCTCAAATTTGATACTTCTTTTATGCCACAGAATATGGTCTGCTTTGGTGAACATTCCATGACTATTTGAAAAGAATGTGTATTCTGCTATTGTTGGGTGAATTGCTCTGTATGTGTTGGGTGGATCAAAGTGGTTGCTAATATTTTTCAAGTTTTCTGTATCCTTACTGATTCTGTGTCTAGTTTTATCAGTTATGGGGAGAGTACTATTGAAATCTTTCATGGTAATTTAAAAAATTATATTCTTTTAAATTTAATGATAGTAGATGGTTATGATGTTAGTTAGATGACTGAGAGCTGTAAAGGCTAAATTAAAAAAATATTTTAGGGGAATGTTTTCTTCTTAATATGCTTTGGATTCCCATAGACTTGTTTTCCATTGCCAGTCCTGTCGCTTACTACCTCAGCAACACTGATGAGCTTATTCTTTGGATACGGGTAATACAAACTTCTTGTAGCTATTGTGGGGATTAAATTAATAATACATAGAATTCTCTACTGTCTGATCTCCAGTGGACAGTAACTCTTGAATACATAGAAATTATTTTTGTATTTTTTTTAACTTGCAAGTAAAGATATCAAATATCTATTTTAATCTTGGATGCATTGCATTTGTTAATTTTTTTTTTTTTAAATTTCACCCTTGGCCTGCACCAGGTTTTCTCTTTGTGTATCTTTTTCCTGTTGCTTTTATTGGAGCCTTAATTGAGCATAGCATGCCTTGATTGTGTTGTGAAAAGGATTTTTTTCTTGTCCTAATTTTTCTCACTTGACAATAAAGTATTAAAAAGGTAAGAGTGTTGGTACAACAGATACACTTGCAGCAGCTGTAAAATCATCTCACATTACTTCGCTGTCTGAAAGTCGATGTGTTTTTCTTTTCTTTCAGATAAATCGAGAAAGCTGGTGTACGATAAAGCCGTGCCCCGATACAGCACCTCTGTTGGCCCCCACAGAGAGCCCAGGTGAGCAGTGGTCTTCCAACTTCCAGGTGCTTGAATAACTGTGACTTAAATCTCCATTTTTTACACTGCAGTCCCTGTCTGATTACAGACCTCTTTTGGAGTACTGTCCTTCCTTACTGTGCCATGCAGTAAATCAGAAGAGAGGGGTATGTGTGATTTGGTTTGTAGGCATTTTGTCTCAACTGAGAATATGGAGTGTCCTAGAATTAACCTAAATTTCATGTGAATCATGTGAATCTTCACATGTGGCTTTTTGACTCATCACTTCTGTGAAGGCATCTGTGCTGGGCACATACCTAGGATCGTGGTTTCTCAGTCTGATAAAACTATACATATTTATTGAGAACTAATCCTGTGGCTCTCCATTTTGGCTGCACATCAAAGTTATCTGGGGAGATATAGAAATACACCGCTGCCTGGGTCCTGCTCGCAGAAGTTGTGGTTTAATAGGGCCTAGGCTGTGAGCTGGACCTCAGAATCTTTGAGAAAGCTCCTTTGGTGACTCCACTGCATAGCCAGGATTGAGAACCCTAAACTTTGGAAGTATTGTCCCAATGGAGCCTTTCCTTAAACACCCATGAAGTGTTAGTAACAATAGGTGAGGGTCAGCTGCTAAGCCCTGGCTTGTTAATGGCTTGTTAATGACATAGCATATAACTTGTGGGTAGTTAAGATGCCCATCTTTTTCCCCAGGTTTAGCCACTAATTCACAGTGATGTAAGGAAAGTTCCCTAATGTCTGTGCACTCTATTGTCTCCCATCTCTCAGGAGTTACTAGCTCTCAGTGGGGCATGTTGCCTGAATGACACGGTGCGTAACTGTAAGTCCCTGGGCCTGTTGTGAGTGCTGGTAATTTGTACCCTGGGCTCTTGAGTCGGCTTGAGTCAGCAACACCTCTGTTTACCTTTATAGGTTTTACTGACCTGCTTTAAAATTTACTGAATCCTCACTGACAGGTAGTTGTGGATGTCCTGTGGTAGTATTAAATCGAAACACAAACTTTGCAAATCCTGTATCTCCCAAGAGCTTTCCTACTGATTCTCAACTCTTCGACTTTATTCTGAAGGAAGTATTAGAGACAGAAATGAAAAGTGTTCTTCCCTAGTTTTGTCTCACATGGAGGATATTATGCTGTAGTTTTGTTTAGGGTCCCAGCATGCTGTAAGATTGACCCTGTTCACGGATTTAGCTGACACTTAACACCCCACCCAGCCCTCTAGAATCTTCTACTTAAAAGTATACTACTTCCTGTATCTTGGTTCCTTGAGCTGTTCAGGGTCTTTTCTGAAAGTACAATAACACCCAGCCATGCACGCAGTGAAACTGTCTTAAGTTTCTCCTCATGCTGGAGTTCAGTTTACTCATTTAAAGAAAGGAATTTTGAACCCCTGAGCATTTTCCCCAGGATGTCCTCTTGGATTTTGTTGACCGTGTCCACTCCATACTCCAGCCCCAAGCATAACTACTTTGGTGTTTTTAGAGTGGGTCTTTTTAACCCTCCACGCAACAGCATCCGAGATCTGGATTTTGCTATGGAGCTTCAGACCTGAGTTTTTGATTTTAGCAAATTTTGGGGTGAGTTCTAAGCCTTTTGGATCCTGGAGGTTTCATTTATGTTACGAATACGGCTCAAGAGAGCAATAGTTTAAAACCAAGGAGGATAACATGTTTTAAAATCACTTTCGATATTCCTCCATTATGGATAAATACAGATTTATTTAAGTACAAATAAATACCAGTGCATCCTGAGTAGCATGGTTCAGCAAATCCCAGTGGGCGCTGCTGGTGGTTTTTCCTGTCTTTCATGGCCTGCTATAATTTGCTTGCATGTGTATAATTTTAGACCCAAATGACTAGACAGCATCTTAAAAATGACACGTTTTCCTAGCTTTTAAAGAAGTTAATGTCTCAGAACACAAAAGTTTATAGGTAGGTTTATATACGAGTCATAATACAGGACTGACCCACGTCAAGGTAATGTCCTTACCAGATACTTGCACAGCGTAGGTTAATCCCAAAGGCTCGACTTCATTAGGTGTGTTTGTCACACACCTGCTGTGTGCAAAGGGGCAGGGCTCTGGTTACCGTTTTCATAAATTCTTTCTAACGGTCTCTACAGCTGTTTTAGGGAAGTTCTGATCATCCCATTTCACTGGTGTGGAAATGAAGGCTTAGGGGTTAAATGACTTGTTTCCTGGGATCCTTCTGCTAAGTCAGTGGAGGGAGATTTAAGCCAAACAGGGCCGACTCTAAAATCAGTCAGTGCTCAGTGTTCTTGCTTCTACCTGCATGTGTTGCTCCCCCTTATTCTTAAGGAAGAGGGCCGGTAGGAAGGCCTGTGACACAGGGTGGGAATGAGCTTTGCCTTTTGTGGGGTTTCATGATGGCTTAGGGTCATTTTCTCCCCCTTGTTCCCTGTTTACTTACTCTTCTCCCCCCACTGCCGGCCTCCAGCTCAACAGTTAGGATTGTATCACACAGCGGAGTCATCCTCCAGCTTGATTTGCTGGCCCAGATTTATTTTCTGGGTGAGCTCTTCCTACCAGGGCTGAATCTGGATCTTCCCTGTGAATTTTCCATTAGAACGTCTTGAATTGGTTTGTTTTCCAGTCTGGACTTGGGACGTGGTCTGTTTGCCTGCCAGCTGGAGACCAGCAGCTCAGCATAGTTGCTGTGACAGCCCTTTCTTTTCTTGGCCAGCCCCCTGTTTTCCCTTCAACCATGAAATGGAGTTTTTGATTTTTCCAAGTGGGGAAAGGGGGAGAAGTAGAAAGGTCACACACACCAACTCCACCTAAATGAGTACATACTCTCCGAAATTGGTGGCGGGAGGGGTGGTCCAGAATACCCATGATTTCCAGTCTTTTAAAGGCAAGGCTATTCCCATTGAATGAAACACTCAGAAATAGTTTGGACCAACCGAGATTGAAATAGATTAGGGTCTTTTTTTTTTTTTTTTCCTTTAATGAAACATTTTCAGATTAATCTGTGGGCCCCGCCTCGCTCCTGGTGGCATCCTTTGTGTACTTCTGTGTTGGAACTGTCTCTTCATATGTCTGCTTCTATTACAAGATTGTAAATTACCCCACACACATACACAGACTAAATATCTCTTTTTATTTGGATAATCCCCAATACCTAGTCAAATACTAACTGACAGAGGAGGTAATTTTATGGTCAAGCAGTTCATGACCTGTATACCAGTACAGTGCTTCTTTGATCCTTCCTCTAAGATTCCCAGCTAATCCAGCGCAAAAAATTTATTAATGATCAATAATTAGCTAATTCAGATAAGAAGAAACTTTCTTTTCTCATCCTGCAGTGTGCACGCACACATGTGCTCTCTCTCTCTCTCACACACACACACACACACACACACACACACGTACAATTACTGTCCAAACATAGACCCTGAGAATTTAGGGAGACGTTGGGGGTTGTCTAATCTCCACTTCCCCTTCTGTGTATGCATCTTTTCTGAAACCTCTTGACAAAGTCGTTCAGCCTTTGTTCCACCCCTTCTGGTGAAGTGACAGGTTACTTTCTGAAACTCCCAACCCATTGCTCAGAAGCCTACTTCTAGCAAAGCTCCGTGGCTTCCACACAGCAGGCTTGTTGTTCGGCCTCTGGAACAGCACACAGCACATCTGCAGCTGCCCTTAGACACATTTTCTTCAAGCTCCTGGGCAAGCCACGTGGTTCTCGAGTGTTTCCACTGTTGTGACCTCATCACCATGCATGCATTTCTGTTTATCAGTGTTTGACTTTAAATGTTACCTAGGGACAGACATCATCCTGTGGGTGCAGTCTAGCTGTCACATAATGGTAGGACTGCCCCCATTTTGGACTTGGGTACATTGTCTATTAATAGAGTCTAAAGCCATCGGTATTTTTTGTTTTGCTGTCACCTTATATCATCAGCCCCTCTTGAATCTGCTTTCAACCAAAACCTCCAGGTGGCGTGTTCACGACCTGGTAGCCTTCTGATCTGTTGTGTCCGTCATCTCTTAGTATCATCTGCAGAGTTGATATATGTCTGTCTGAATCCCATATAAAAATGCTAACTGAAATGGAAATGCTTCACTCTCCACACTTCTTGAAGGAGGTTGATATCTACCCACTAGCTGACTTTCTTTGGGCTCCTGCTTTTACCGCATACAAATATTTTTAATTCTTTTGCTTCCAGGTCTTATGTCCCTTTTGTGTACAGAATTAATAGGAGAAAGTGGGTTAAATACCTTACTAATTTCAGTGTACTGAGTGTTTAGAATTCCTTGATCTACAGCATAATGTTTCTGCCAGGGCACCCTCTGTCTGATTCACCAGTGTCCCTAGGATAGTTTCTGAACTGAAGACAGATTCTAGAGGATACATTTCTCTTTAGTGCATTATTCCCCCAATGTCAGGTCTGTTTAAGGTAGAAGCTAAACAATTATATTTCTGTTATTACTCAGTAGAACCCATAAGTGCAATATACTGACGTTTGTTTTAGATATGCTTCCCCTCCTTTATTAATCCTAGTATTGGCTGGGTAACAAGTTTCCAGAAAGAACTTAAGTCTTAGAAATTTGGCCATAAACCCTATCACATAGTTTCCTAATAAAGGACATCTGATTTTAGTAGCAAAAGAAAATATTTTTTAACTACCAAGGGGAAAAGATTACCACTTAAATACCTAAATATAGATGGAATTCTGGTTCTAAATTGCCATTTTATCTTTTGGTACCTTTGGTTTACATGGCAAACTCATGGTTGTCTTATAGTAACTGTCACCCTAGAATTGGGATACTAGAGTTAAAAAGCTACTAATCTGACCATGTCCTTTACAGCTGCTTAATACTGGAAGGAGGGGACGTTAGTTGGTTGACTTACAAGGCGAATTGCTGCAATGAAAAGGTATTGGCTGAATATATTTTCTTCCTCAGAATGTGAGAACTTCCTGGATGTTGGACTGGGCAGAGAGTGTGCCTCAAAACAAGGAGTCCTCAAAAGAGAATCCGGCAGTGACTCTGACCTCTTTCACTCACCCAGCGAAGAAGTGGACAGCATTATCTTCCCCAAGGTACTGTCCGCCCCAGTACGCGACTCCTGCCGACCGTACTGAGCATCTCCAGCTCTGTGTGATCCTGGAGAAGAAAGTGTCCTCCCTTCCAGAGAAGGGAGCTCCAGGTGTCCGGGGCTTAGAAGAAGGCATCAGCCACTTTATCCTCTGTAGCATTGTGGCTGGTCACACGCAGGCTTTGAAACCTAACGAAATGGGAGTTCCTTTGGTGTGAATTAAATCAGAGGAAGGTGAATGCTTTTCAGTGGGCAGGAAGGGACCGCAGCTCAGACTGTAACACGTCATGTGTGTAAACTAACCATAGAGGCATTTCTGATTAATGTGTTTAGGCCTGAAGCTCGTTGCCCAGCTTGGTGAGGTCACCCCTCCTCATCTAGCCTGCTTAATTGGAATTTTCTAGATCTCTGCTGGGGAACCCAGACTTTCTTCTCCCCAGTGAAGAGCCAGACCCATGCACATGAGTCACCGTGTGTTTTCATATCATCTGAGGCTCGCCGAGGGGTCGGGGGATGGGGGCGGTTTGCTTTCTTTTGCTTATGTTTGTATCTAGTAGCAGCGAGTTCTGTTTTGTCTCCTGAGAAGCAGAATAGCGGGCTTTCCCACAGCACGATCCGCAGTGGTGCTCAGTCACACACCACACGTGGTTGTCTTAATCGCGAGGGGGTGAGGGGGCAGAAACACAGCAGCTGTGAGCACGCCTTTGTGAAGCTGTCCCTTAAGTTACGGGAGAGGCTTGGCATCCTGGGATCCTGGGCTAGTGCATATTTAAAGCCTCTGTAAATGTCCCCTCAAACACTTTCTTTTCACTTGTCCAGGGGCTCTCATGTGCCCATTTTGGCCTCCCCTAATTCTTTTCCACCATGTTCCTTTTCCTTGTCCTCACTGTCTTCCGGGAGGGTCCTTGGAAAAATTCACAGAACTTCAGGATTCCTGTCATTGTTACTTGCAACAGATTGATTCAGTGGGTTCTGTAAACTAAAAAAATCTGCACCCTGGGAAGATCTCTCCTCCTTTGAGTTGATCTAGAAAGAGGGAAATCATGATTTTTTTTTTTTTTTAATAATAGAATTTGGGTAATTTCCACTGTGACTTTGAGATTTTCATTGTAAGGACTTCTGAACCATCCCCCACTGCCAAGAGGAATGACATTCTGAAGGGGCATGTCTCTCAGAATATTTTATTTGTGTCTTAGATAAACAGATGATATCTCTTAGTTCCCGCTTCAAAATCGAATCACGGACAATCACGGAAACTGGGTCATGAATACCCGGGGATTTGTTAAACATTTATGTGTGTCTGAAATTTTTCATAGTCAAAAGGTGTTTTAAAATTGCGGAGTCATGGGGCGCCCGCGTGGCTCAGTGGGTTAAAGCCTCTGCCTTCGGCTCAGGTCATGATCCCGGGGTCCTGGGATCGAGCCCCGCATCTCTCTCTCTCTGCCCACTTGTGATCTCTCTCTCTGTCAAATTAAAAAAATAAATAAAATTGCGGAGTCTTCATTAAGAAAGACTTGCTTGCTCCCTCCTAGGTGCGTGAGAGTTCGTCCCTGGACGCTGCCATGTCTGCAGAATGGTAGTGATCTCTGCTCGCTAAACCCAGTGATTTTCCTAACTAAAGAGAATTCCAGTTTCCTCTGTTTTGCGTCCTTACTCAAACTGCCAAAAACGTTGAGGAGATTGTTCAGACGAATGGCTGGTGCTAGATTGGGCAGTTTTTTCAGGATGACTAGACAGATAGAATTGCTAAGAGTTGGAGCATACTCCCCAGAGCAACTTCTACCCACATTTTGTACCGCAGTGGCTCAGAAAAACCAGAAACGGTGGGTGCACCGTCATCTCTTTGTGCGAGCACGAGAATGTCGCGTGGCCTGGGGCGAGATCTGGAGGGTTCTTCCTCTTAGCTCTTTCCACTTTCCCAAAGTTGGTTGTGACCAGGAGAGGTTTTGCAATAAGAGTTTTCTCTAGCTTTCCTAAAGCCAAGGGGTTGCGTATGAAAGGAAAAGGGGAGAGCAGAGAGCAAGAGAGAGACAGGCTAATACTTAACAAAGTGGTTACTGTGTACTCAACACTGACCCGAATTTCTTATAATGTATGTGATCTCATTTTGAGCTCCCCACAACCCTGTGAGGTGGGTGGTTTTATCCTCATTAAACTCCTGAGGGAATGCGGGCTCTGACTGGTAGAGAGGTGTCGTCCAGATTACTCAGCTGGTAAGTCACAGTCCTGAGATCGTACGTAGGCCTGACTCTCAGATCTCTTCCCTGTCTCGATCTCCAGACACCTGCTTTAATAGCCAGTGATTTATACAGAAGCAGGGTGGTGTCCCTCCCCGGCTGCCTCAGTGGACAGCCACACAGCGTGTGCTGTGAAACATCACCCTGTCCTGGAGTGCCTTCCCCTCTCCCGTCTCTAAAAAGTCATCTCTGGGCAAGGCATACAACATTTTTCTCTGCGAACCATGAGTAGTGCGTTAGGTCACTTCCTACAGCCGTGTGTGTGTGTGTGTGTGTGTGTGTGTGTGTGAGAGAGAGAGAGAGAGAGAGACAGACACACACACACACACACACACACATACTCTGGCCTCATAGAGGTCTCTTCAGCCTGCAGTGTTGGTCACAAACCCTTTGCCTTACCCTTCAGTTTCCATCCAGCCTGCCTTCCAGTAAATATGACTCGGGTGAGAGGAGCTTCCTGATTACTCTTCTGAATATTTGCTAGTTCTAAGGTCATCGTCTTCTCCATAGATCAACAGCATAAAATTTAGATTTTTTTTTAAAAGATTTTATTTATTTACTTGAGAGAGAGCACACGAGTTGGGCGGAGAGGGAGAAGCAGGCTTCACCGCTGAGCAGGGAGGCCAATGCGGGGCTCGATCCCAGGACCCCAAGATCATGACCTGAGGTAAAAGCAGACACTTAACCAACTGAGCCACCCCAGGCGCCCCTAGGTTATGTTTTTAAAATAGGAAGAAATCTTGGACTTTTTCTTGGCACTTGCAAAGAAAGAGTGATCATAAAATACATAATCTCGGCTACCCTATTATCCAAAAGGTTAATTGAAGTCCACGAAAATATTCATAGTCGCTCTTTTCCCAAGGAGAATTAGATAAAGAGCTCACACCTTGTTTTTTTTCTCTAGGCTGTAAAATGTATCCACAACTGAGAAAATCCGAGTAACTCCCCTAAGATGCTAAGTCTTAAGGAAGCACACTTCCTTTCTTACGCTAGTTCGCTCTCAAGTACTTGGTCACCAAGCCAAAAAGTTTTTAGCCTTTCAGGTATAAAAGTAGCTGTACTTAAAGAACCCAAATTCAAAAAACTTTATTATTTATGCATGCACAAGTATTGAAACTTACTATAATTTCAGAACTGTGAAGCAGCTCACTATCACATGCTTAAGATTCTTAGACAAATTATTGCACACAAATGTATTAAGCAGTTGGCACATATTAGGTATTTAAAACATAAGCTGTTATTTGCCAAAGGCACATGACAGAGTGCCTTGAGTATCATAGACAACAATTTATAAATATTTAATGAATAAGTTATTAAAAATTAAAGGACTAGTATTTTAGCAATATTAAACATTCCTTCGGGTGTGGTAATAGAAAGTGTGTAGTTTCTATATTTTTATATATATATATATATATATATTATATATAATGTTTACCCTTCTCTCTATACCTATACATTACCAATCTGATGTGATTCTTGGTTAAGAGAGCCAGTCAGGCATTTTCCCCCAACATTTTATTGAGAAAATGCTGCAGCATCCAGGGAAGATGGAAGAGCTGTGCAGTGAGCACCCACCACCTGGATTCCACCATTAACGTCATACCCTTGCTTTGTTACACACCTGTGCAACTGTCCTTCCTTTCTCTACTCACCAGTTGGTGCATCTAATTTCTTCAATGCATTTTTTTTAATTTTTTTAAGGATTTTATTTATTTGACAGAGATCACAGGTAGGTGGAGAGGCAGGCAGAGAGAGAGAGAGAGAGAGAGAGAGAGAGAGAGGTGGGGAAGCAGGCTTCCTGCTGAGCAGAGAGCCCAATGCGGGGCTCCATCCCTGAACCCCGGGATCATGACCTGAGCCGAAGGCAGAGGCTTTAACCCACTGAGCCAGCCAGGTGCCCCTCTTTAATGCATTTTTAAGCAAGCTACAGGTAACAATCCACTTTTACCCCTAAATACTTAGAATTCAGTAATAGAGTTGTTTTTTGTTGGTTTATTATAAATTCTCCATGCAGTGAAATGCACAGTTCAGTGACTTTTCCCTCGGCTTTATGAGTTATAGCGGATAAAAATTGTGCATATTTAAATGTACAAGAAGATGCTTTGATAGGCAAGTTGTGAAATGCTTACCACAATCAGGCCGGAAGTGTCTGTCACCTACAGAGTTACCTCTTTGTGCAGGTGATAAGAACACGTGAGAGTCACTGTCCTAGCAGACTTCAGGTCCACAATGCATCGTTAGCAACTGTGGTCGTCATGCTGTCCATGGGGTCTTCAGAATTGCTTCATCTCCTGAGAGCTTGGTCCCTTCGACCAACATCTCCCCATTTCCCCCACCCTCTGGGGAAGCCCTGTTCTACTCTGTTGCTCAGAGTTGCCATTTGTGGTTTCCATATAGAAGTGACATCATGTAAAAGTTGTCTTTGGCTTATTTCACGTAGCGTGATGCCCTCAGGGTCCATCCATGTTGTTCCAAATGCCAGGGTTTCCTCCTCCTTCTTCTTCTTCTTCTTCTTTTTTTTTTTTTTTTTTTTTTAAACTCTGAGTGACATTTACTTTACCTGTTCAGCCGTCTGTGATGCGTAAGCTGCTTCCATGTCTTGGCTGCTGAGAACATGGGAGTGCAGGTACCTCTTCAAGACCGTGGCTTAATTTCCGTTGGATATATACCTAGAAGTAGGATATTGCTAGATTCTAGAGAACAGTTCTAGTTTTAATTTTTTGAGGAACCTACTTACTGTTTTCCATAATAGCTGTACCTCGGTGAC